AAAAAAATTATATTTATTTTGTCTAAATTGACGTTTTATAGTAACTCTTACTCATTTAAATTGGTATTTTAATAATACTTAATTTAATTTCATGATTTTTTTATTTAATTCTTTTAAATTTATGTCAAGATTTTTCAATTACTTTTTTTCATTATAAGGAATTTTGTCCTTACTATTATTCTTTTATAAATTACAATTTCTAAATATTTAAATATTCAAATGTTTTTAGCTCCAAAAAATTTAAATGTAAATGATTAATTTTGACAAAAATTATGTTTATTTTGTATGAAATGATTTTTTATGGTAACTCTCACTCATTTCCATCAATATTTTAACAATATTTATTTTAACTTTATTAATTTTTATGTTTATTATTATAAATTTATATCAAGATTTTTAATATTTAATTTTTACTACAGTTATTTTTATCTTTATTATTATTCACATATAAGTTAAAATTTGTAAATGTTTAAATATTTTTTACTCAATAATATAAATGAAAATAATTAATTTTCACTTAAAGTTTATTTATTTTGTTTAGATTGATTTTTTATCGTAACTCTCACTAATTTATATCAATATTTTAACAGAACTTATTTTAACTTTATTATTTTTTTACGTTCGTTCTTATAAATTTATGACAAAATTTTTAAATGACTTATTTTTACTATAATTATTTTTATTCTTATTATTATTCACATATAAGTTAAAATTATTTAAATGGTTAAATATTTTTTACTTGTGAATATAAATGAAAATGATTAATTTTCACTTACAATATGTTTATTTTATTTATATTAATTTCTTACGGTAACTTTCATTCATTTACGTCAATATTTAAAAATGTTTATTTTAACTTTATTATTTTTTACGTTCATTCTTATAAATTTATATCAAGATTTTTAAATAATTAATTTTTATTATAATTATTTTTATCTTTATTATTACTCACTTATAAATTAAAATTTGTAAATGGTTAAACTTTTTTACTCAAGAATATAAATGAAAATGATTAATTTTCACTTACAATATCTTTATTATATTTAAATTGACTTTTTACAGTAATTTTTACTCATTTATATCAATATTTTAACAATGTTTATTTTAACTTTATTATTTTTTACATTTATTCTTATAAATCTATGTTAAACTTTTTAAATGGCTAATTTTCATTATAATTATTTATATTTATATTATTATTCATTTATAAATTAAAATTTGTAAATATTTAAATATTTTTAATTTGAAAATATAAATATATATAATAATTTTTCACAAGAATTATATTTATTTTATCTAAATTGACTTTTTACCTCAATATTTTAATGGAATTTGGATCCCCTTACTCATAAAATGCAAAATCGATTCTTTGAATTTATTGGATATATATCTCGACTGTTGGGATATATTTTTATTTATATAAAGTCAAATACTATGAGGTTAGATAACGTTTGGTATTTTGTAAAATAAGTGATTGTTGAGAATATAATTACTGAAAAAAATAATTTTACAATGTTTGTTACAATATGGGAAGTGATCATTATTAAGAAGATTACATTGTAATGTTTGAATTGAAAACACTTTACCAGAAATATATTATAAATTTATAAAATTATCCTTATATAAACAAAAATTGACAATCAATATGCAAACATATATATATATATATATTAAAAAAATTTGATTGATTGAAATCATGCTTAAGAAAGAAAAGAAAAATATTTTAAAGGATAAGAATTTGTTTGAAATTTACCATGTATGGATGAAGTTACTTGGAACCCAATAGTTCACATTAAACATTAATGAAGAAAATGGAAGAAATAATTTGTAATGAAGGATTCCCATTAAACATTAATGACAATCTAAATTAAAATGAATCCAAATAAGCTAGAGTGAGCGACTAGGGTTCTCCCTATGGCAAGAAGAAGAAGAAAAGTAAATACAAGAGAAAGTGGATTATGGGTAAGACAATTTAGGTCAAAAAATGACTTTTTTTTTATAAAAAAAAATTAAATTTTTTTCATAATGGAAGAACGATTTATTGTAATCACGTTACATTGAAATAATTTTACCATGTGATCAAACATGGTAAAGTGATTGCATTCGAGTAAAATGCAGGGAATCTATACAACGTACCAAATGCCTTCTTACTGTAGAATTAGCGGAATTTTAGGCTACTGAACCCAAAAGCGTCATTGAAGACGGTGCTTGGCTTGCGAGGTTGGATTGGAACGCGTGGTTGATCGCATCAGTGGTCAAAGGTTGACTTTTGGGCATCCGAACGCAAATCCCGAAGGAAGCAACAACGTGAAGTTGTATGATTATCAAATAAGGATCACCAGATTTGTCAAGATAATAAATATCAGCCGTTGATTACTTCAGAAAAACGTGCATCTTGCTAGCATTGCATGCTTCAAGATAATATATATAATATATGGAATGGCATGTTTCAGGATATTAAGAAAAAAAATAACTAAAAAGAATTCTATTTAGAATTATTATAATTATAATCAATAATAATAATAATGTTCAATTTCTACATATTTTAATTGTTCAGACATTAAGAAATATTTCTTAGATTAAAAAATGTGATTCTCATAGGCAAAACCAATATAGATATATAGACAAATCCATCTTAGTTGTTATAGGTAAAGCTAAACATATGATTCGGTTTGGTTCGATTTCGATTAATAAAATTTAATTAATGTGTATTGTTTTGATTTCTCAAAGATTGAAATCGAATAGAATTTTTTTGAAATTGAACTAGTCAAGATTGAGTTTCATTCCTTCAATTTTCTCAATTATTAAAATTTTTATTATTAATTTTAGTTTATTTTTTAAAATTTACAATTCTATTCGATTCGATTAATTTTTACCTTGGATTTATGAATAAAAACAATGTTAATGAATAAAATCTCATTTCTAATAAAAAAAACAAAGTAAAGAAAAATGATATTATGAGTTACACACCATCATGCTGTCACATATCTATTAGATTGTAATGAAACAAATTAATAACTTAGCATAATTATTAAATAAAAAAATTATAAATTTATTAGTTGAGTTAAAAAATCTACTATCAATATATAAATTACAAAATTTTAATGATATTTGAATTTAGATTAAATTTAAAAATTACAAAAATATAATATTTTAATTTACACAAATGATTATATAAAGATTAAATTTATATTTTTATAAAAATTAATCGAATAATTTGATTAAAAAAACTGAGTCTCGATGTGAAAGGTCAAAACAATAAATCATATAATTATATATAT